TTCTGTCAGCACGGAAAGTAATGATTCTTACAAGTCTGTGTTAGAATACTGAAAAGGAGACTCCTGACAAAGGTCAAGAGCATCAGGCACGGAGTCCTAACTGGGCCACTCTTGAAGCCATGTGACCTAGACAGTCCCTACTTACTCTCTCCACAGCTCAGTTTCCCTGTCTGTAAAATGGGGGTACCACGAGTGCCTGTCATCACACGATTGGTGGGAAGCTTCAATGGATCAACACTAATAGCAATAGTAAAGCCAAACAACAGAGACAAAGCAACTGAGCTCCAGATTCCAGAGAAGTTAGCTATCCACAGTAATAAAGCAAGTACCTGGGCCTGGATTTGAACCCAAGCAATTAAATTCCAAAGCTCCTCTTTGCGTCTGCCTCCCATTGATGTAAGGACACACTCAGCATAGCACCTAGCCCATGAGAGCTGCTTTTTAAAAAAAAAAAAACAAAAACCAAAACATCGTCACTGATTTTAAAGGTCCCAGAAATGGAATGATATTTTAGACCTTTAAATGCTCTAGAGGTGTAACAAGTAGGAGGACAAATTCTTTAAAAGTCTTTTATTTTTTTCCCCCCTCCCTTCATTAACTACTCTCAAAGCATCCAGAGAAGTTCCTTTTGCTTGGGAAACAGCTGCTATTATTTGTAGCACAGCTGTAAATTGTGCATTATTCCTACCCATTTGAAGCTAGGTGACAATAAGCTATCATTCTGACCCAGCAATGAACTGAAATTGTAGTCACTTTTTTTTATAAGCAAAAGTGCCCTAGTCACATAGTTTCTTGGTAATTTCCACCTTTCAGGATCTTAAAAAAAGAAAAGAAAAGAAATGCCTTGCTTTTACAAAGTCATTTGCAGCTGGCTCAGTGATAAAGCCTCGCCGTGTCAGCTTTCAGGAATCCTGTGTTTGTCTGTGTTGTGTTACCCAAGTAGCTTGTTATCTTTGCAGCTTAAGGGCTGACTTGGAAATTCAGGCTGTCAACTATTTAAAGAAAATGGAAGTCCTCACGCCACTATTTTAATTAACTTTCCAGAGAGCAAGGTTTTCTACTTGGTTATGAGAGTGTTAACTTAAAATACTTTGAAGGAAACAGGGCAGAAACAAAATAAGGAGGAGGATCTTTGTTTTAAAAGGCATTCCAGGAAGAAGAATTTGAACATAGCCATGATGACAAAACAGTATAGATAATGTAAAGAAAAGAGAATAGAGTCAGGAACAAATATTAGGGAGTATGAATGGTAGGGCGTGGGCGGTTAAAATGTATTAATGCAGATTATATGGGGTATTGAATGCCAGGTTAGGGTTTTGGAAGGTGGATGTCTATGCAATGGGAGATAAGAGATGTGTGGAAGTCAACAACAACGATCACATTTATGTCTTAGGAAGACAACAGGGGGTTATGTGTGGGTATGCGCTACACAATGGAATCAGAACAGATCCAGGAACTCGCTGACTATGTGAGTGAGTTTGGCCTAAAATTTCCATCCATTAATTTGTTAAATGGTGATGATAAAACTGTGGTAGGAACTGAATGAAATCAGGCACGGACTATTAAAATAATGCTATAGAAAGCAGTCAAACAATCAACACACACATGCACACTTTTACAGTCAGGCTGCCTGGAGGAGACTGAGGGCTGAGAAAGCCGGCGTTCTGATGGAGAGAAGGAAAGAAGGGATGTCTGAGGTGAAGGAGAAAGGTGGGAGGGAAAAGGGAAAATCCCGAGAGACGATTCAAGAGAGAAAGGAGTTTATACAAGGGGAGGCAGCGGGGGAGCTGGCCTGGGGGCTGGGATGCTGGCGGGTTCAGCTTTAGAAATGCTAAATTTGAGAAAGAATGAGATATTTACAAGGAGTGGGTGGCCCAGAGCAGCCTCAAGAAATAGGTGTTCAATCAGCATTTTAATTGAAAATGCCACATGGCTCTACTATATGAGGATAGTATCTGAGGATCTTTATTGATCCATAATTAAACCTCAGTGAGCAAACTCAGTGAAGTTCTAAAAGCCATGGCATGTAAGCCAAGAGAGATGTGGAGTTCAGAATTGCCACTGGGGGAGCTCTGGATAGAAAAACAGATTCTCTGGAAGGAATCAAGGAAGTATCAGGCATGCCTTCATACTCTACCTCCTTTGAGGAATTTCCCTTTGCTTGTTCCCACCAGAGAAACATCACCTATAAAAATAATCACAGATAACTCCAATCCCAATTACACAAAGATGTTCATCAAAGTATTATTTATATCAGCAAAAAATGGGAAGCAATTCATATTTAAGATAACAGGGGAGTGGTAGATTATGTCCATCAATTTGACGGAATATGAAAGTGGCAACTGTAGGAACCATTCTAAGCACTTTATATATATTAATTCAATCAGTCATCACAGCAATTCTGTGGGGTATATACTAATAAAAGCCCTATTTTACAGATGAGGAAACTGAGGCTTGGTAAATTTAAATAATTTGCTCAAGATTGCACAGGTAATAAGGGGCAGATCTGGGACTTCAGTGAGGCTGTCTGGTTCTAATGTCTTCGCTCTTAATAGTACATATCATTGCCATAAATGCTACTTTTTATTTTTGCCTGATTTTCCTAAATTAGTTTTATGACAAAACTTTGGAGGAAAAACATACCCTCTCCATTCAGGGGAGGAGGAAATCAAATAGGAAAGGAGCGGTGACAATGAGCAAAAATTCTGCTTCATTATATACCCAATGATAAAAGCTCGTATTTCCTATTCTTTCAATCTCATCAGCAATAACTAATGCTCGTACAACAAATTATAATCTACAAAGTCCTTGAACCCATTCATAGTGTCAAAACTACCCAGCCAAGTCCTATTTTCATTACTCCCAATTTACAGATGAGGAAATTGAGGCTGAGAATGAGCAGAGGGCTCATTTCAATTTCACGGCGCTGGTTTCATGATTCCCAGTCCCAAGCTCCTTCTACTACTCAGCATGGTTTGGACAATTTCAAAACACTGTCCACCATTTCTTTAGTAATCAGTCAGGAAAGCATCAGGAACACACTGAAATTGAGGAAAATGATTGACTTGGGTTTGGCCAGACTAACTCTCCAAACTTGACATCTTAGGGCTAAAAGGTCTGGGTTACCCAAGTACTGTTCTTTTTAAGACTTCTTCTGCCTCAGGCAAGCCATTTTCCCTAAAGGAGGCTTGTGGAATCAACCTTTTTCTCTTTCATTCTTTCCCCGGCCATGTGATTACAGCTTCTTCACACCCATGTAGGTACCAAAAACCTCTTCAGAGGTTGCCAAGAGATGGGACAGGATGATGAAAATGAAGAGGGAAATAATGATACTTTAATAGTTAATAATAACAGCCAAAGTGTAGAGAGAGTTTGCTGCACGCCAGATACCGACCGCCCTGGGCAATGTTTCCATACAGTTAATCTCACAACAGACCTGGGAAAGAGGTGCCATTATCTTGATGGGGAAATGAGGCTCAGAGGGTGTCCATCACATGCTTGACCGGGAGAAAGTGGGGGAGGAAGGGTTAGCAGTCCACAGACAGTGGAGTCTGAGCTGTTGGCCCTGAAAGCCCTCATTTTAAATCAACTTCAGACTCAGCCCCTACGCGAAGGAATTCCTTGCATATCTGATCTTCCTAGGAAATATGGCTCCTCCAGGGAAGACAGGAGTGGAGAACACAGCCGCTCTTGATGTTAACGACCTAGAGACTAATTTATCTTCTTTTTATGCCTTGACATTTTCTTTTAATTAAAAAAAATTATCAAGAAAGCTATCAGGGAAGATTTACTGGAGAAGGAAAAGGCTACCCACTCCAGTATTCTTGGCCTTCCCTTGTGGCTCAGCCGGTAAAGAATTCACTTGCGTTGCAGGAGAACTTGGTTCAATCCCTGGGTTGGGAAGATCCCCTGGAGAAGGAAAAGGCTACCCACTCTAGTATTCTGGCCTGAAGAACTCCACGGACTATACAGGGTCGGACCACGACTGAGTGACTTGCATTTGCAGTAATTTTTATGATTCCTTCAAAGCTTATTTACTAATCTAATTTTTTTTAAAAAATCACAAAACAGAGTAAAAGGAGAGTGCGGTGAGTGGACCGTGGCATCTTAAGTGGACGCCTCAGTCATTCTACCAAATTAAATGGGCAGATGTGGAAAGTGCGCCGAGTTTCTGAAGTGAAGCATGACTCTGTGACCGCCAGTTTTCAAGCCTGGAAGGCAGGATCTGGTTATCAGTCTGTTAAGGAGCACACCTGTCAAAAGACTTGGCGGGGAATGAATACTAGTTGATCTGTAAATAATCTACTGGTTAAGTTTACCCGGAGTAGAACATTAACACAGTAGAGGCAAGGCTTTCAGCCGGTTGTCGGCCTGTGAGCTGTTTCGAATTGGAGGTCTGGCCTCCACCTTTAACCCTTTCTACTACTCCAACGGCAACTACTGCATGAAAAGAACAGAATGGAGCGGACAGAGGAGGGTGAATTCAAATATAAACACTCTCTGATGATCTGGCCAGTTAGGCAGTTAGGACCAGTAAGTGTCTCGGTGGCAACAATGCAACTGTTAGGTCAAGTGTATGAAGGGTGAGGCCCCTTCAGGGCAGCTGCAAAAAGAAAGCCCCTATTAATCCCTAACTAAGCAGCTGATGGATTTAATCTTTTTGTGCTCATAGTATATCTCTTCAAACACAAGATTAGTATAAGTTTAAAAAATCAGCACGGGTTACCCAAGCTTTTTATAGATTTTTTCATTTGCTAACAGATGACAGAGAATAGAACGTTGCAGCATTTCTGAGAACAAGTTCTGTCGCTCCGGCTTGGAAAGCTTCATTGCTTGGATTCATTCACAAAAAGAATAGGTTTCTATTTGAAGAGGAAACAGACCTCCGTCTCACGCCTAGGGGTCTACTTTCTTTTGATTTTGCATCCATTGTTATTTAAAATAGCATTAAAAGATTCAGTGAGTTATTTTGCATAGTTATATCAGAAAAGGGACCTTACCTGGTGTAATCCCCTTTGGCTTCCTAAAAACAAAAAAGACAGATGATCAGTTTGTACTGATGTTAATCAAGCTAAAAGAATTTTTACTCTTGATTATTCTCCACTCTTAAAATGCCTGAGTTTTGTTTCGAATTTTTTTTTTTTTTCACAAGGAACACTTTCCCTATTTACCACACTGGAGAAAATGTGGCATTTAAGACACTGTTATTACTCATTAATTTTTCTTGTTTTTAACAGACAAGACAAATCTATCTGAAAACACACAGATGGTTATTTCTCCTTTTAAGTTTCGAAGATCACGTGATAAATGCTTGTCTACCAGAGCAGCACACTTTTTAGTCTGGATGCAGACCTTTTAAATCATTACACAGATAAACCGACACATGCCATTTACTTTCTTTTTTTAAACCAGCATAGAACCCACTGTTTTTCTACTATGCATGACTTTAAGAATTAAAGGGCTCTTTAACTCAACCTCAAGAAAAAGTATACAAAAGTTACTAAATTTAAATGCAAATTACAGCTGTTGTGACAACTGCTGCCTCCCAAATGCAAGTCACCCAGAGCTCTTTGCCAGGAATATGGTCTTAACGCTCCTTCCTCAGTGAAGTCTAAATTTCATTTTCTTCTGAGACACACAATGCCACATTCTCACTCATCATGCAAACCACGCTAAAACAGAAAACGGTGGCTCACATTTTACTCTGGTAAACAACCAGGCGACTTTAGAACATTAGCTACTGGCCTATGCAAAAGTTTCAGAATTTCAGGCAGTTCACAAAACCCAATGAACAAAACGAGCGGTTAAAAAGTGGTTTGTCAGCTCTTACCTGTAAAATGAGTGCCGCTAACCTGAAGATAGTTTCGCTGTCTACTTCGATTTGCCCCTGTCGGTGGAAAAGGAAAGCATCACTGAACACAGGCTGCCCTAGGTCGTAGCAAATGGCTGTGGAGTTCGGGAAGCTGTCACAGCTTGGCACCTCCAGTTTACGATCAAATGCAGATCATACCATTCCAGAGGAAAGGGAGGGGGGCGTGGAGAGACGCGTCCAGGGTTAAGGGGAAGCCACAGCGTGTGTGTGTGTGTGTGTGTGTGTGTGTGTGTGTGTGTAAGAGAGAGAGAGTGCGTGCTTTAATTAGCTGTGGGAAATTGTGTTTTGAGAGCAGTATTCTGGAAGGAACACACATGACTGAAAATTCAGACAGACTAAATGAATGAACAATGTTTATCTAAGTTCATTTTTACGCTCCGATTTTCTTACTTTGTTCAGTGTTTTCCTGCATCATAGCAATTATTTTGGTACACACACAATGCAAATATTATAAAAAATGTAAGTTCCACTTCTGTGTCAATGAGACTATTGGATTAATATTTATAGTTTTACAGAGAAAATGTAAAGCCTTAAGAATCAGTTACAGCAAATGCTTAAAAGACTAATATTCTGTTGCTATATACTGAAGTTTGATGAATCCTAATTTATCTTTTTTCCAGTATTTTATTTTTTAAGATCCCAAAGAAGAATAGGCGTTTGAGGCTGTAATTAACAGGAATACTTACTCAGGAAGGGATGCACAAGTGTGGGTTTCTGTGTGTGGGGGAGTGCCTCGATCAACACTACTCACATATACCTTCGTTTATTTTGTTAAATGTGATGACATATTTAAATACCATTATTGCACTGTATGATAAATTCAACACTTAGACTACGGTCATTATTTTTAAAACTTTTTTTTTTTTTTGGTAAGATGCTAGCTTATAAGCATCACCACAAGGTAAAACAATTCCACATAACGCTCTCCTGGTTAAACCCTGTATAATTAGCACTCAGAATGCATAGTGTTTAAGAACACAGGTCTGCAAATTGCCCTGCACTTTTTCTTTCTCCTTTCTACCTGTTGAATCTGGGTTGAAGAGTTTTGTAATTACACCAAGTGTATCAGTGGTAAGTAATTTAGTAGTTTTAAGGTAAACGCACACTAGGTAGGTTTATAGGAGCAGTTAGCTCAGTGAGAATTTCTGGAAGGTTTATGCTTTTCTCTCAAGTTTCCAAATGATTTGACTGGGCTTCTCAAACAAACAAACAAACAACAACAACAACAATAACAACAAAACCCCAAAACAAAAACTAGTAACAATAATTCTTTTAGAAGTCATAAAATAAAATATACAACCCTCAAATTGGGGATGTTACAATGTCAGCTGTGATAATTATCTGTTTCCCTTCTATTACAGAATGAAAACAAATTAACTTCCTTTTCCAGCATCTAAGTATTCCTTCTGAAACCTGAGGCAGAGGATCTGCTTCAAAGTTTTGTGCTTCAAAAGCTCAGGCTCAGAGCCTTGGAATTCAAAGCTCGCCTATAATCTCTAGAAACAGATTATAAAATCAAAGAAGCCAGGTTGACTGCAGAAATCAATTGCCCTGTGTCTTTCAGGCAAGAGACAGCAGTTTTCTAATCTGGTGAAAGATGATGAAGCAGTTAATCCAACAGGTGAGAAGGCGCTGATCAAGATTTAAATTTTAGAAAGGCTGAATCCCTCCTCTTCAAAGAAAAAGAAACTCATGTAGAGGCAGGGGAACTTCTGGGGGGGTGGGGTGGCGCTAAAAAACATCTTTGAGTTTGAAATTAGGCCTGACCCCGTTAAGTCAAATTTGTCTTAAAATTGGAGAAGAGATCAAGTGTGTTAGTTTAAATATTAAAAAAAAAAAGAACAACTAAAGATGAATAAAATATACTGAAAATTATTGCCAACTCCTCTGCCACCTTGTGACCCCTTTGCTTCATCAGAATCTTGGATGAGTCATTTGAACAATATTTTACAAACCAGCTTTTCAATTTAGTAAATGGAAGTCCAGCAGATAAAAAGACCTCAAACAGACACTTTAAAGGAAGCTGCCAAATATTTCTCTAACTTAGAAGTCATTAAACATTAAAAATGCTGAAATGAGGAGCTGAGATATGAAAAGTACCAGGCTGGGACAGCTCTAGAGGAGTAGGGAGGCAAATAAGAACCTCACCTGTGGGTTTTTTCACCTACACAGTTCATTCAGTTCAGTTCAGTCGCTCAGTTGTGTCCGACTCTTTCGACTCCATGGACTTCAGCACACCAGGCCTCCCTGTCCATCACCAACTTCCGGAGTTTACCCTAACTCATGTCCATTGAGTCAGTGATGCCATCCAACCATCTCATCCTCTGTCGTCCCCTTCTCCTCCTGCTTTCAATCTTCCCCAGCATCAGGGTCTTTTCTAATGAGTCAGTTCTTCTCATCAGGTGGCCAAAGTATTGGAGTTTCAGCTTCAGCATCAGTCCTTCCAATGAACACCCAGGACTGATCTCCTTGAGGATGGACTGGTTGGATCTCCTTGCAGTCCAAGGGACTCTCAAGAGTCTTCTCCAACACCACAGTTCAAAAGCATCAATTC